CCATGGGTGCATCTAATCAGGTCCCATGGGCTCGTGCACCATCAGGTTCACTAAATGGTCTTGAACCTGAGCTCCTACACTGAGTGGTCCTTCATTCTCCCAGTCCCAGCTTTGCCTCCTGTGACTTAGTCGGTGTGACTGGAGTACATGCCAGTGAAGACCGAGGCAGAAGAGTTGTCAAGTACCTCAGCTTTTTCCATATCCTAGGTAGCCAGGTCTCCTGTTTCCTTCCAGAGAGGGCCCACATTTTCCCTAGTCTTCCTTTTATCATCGATGTACCTATAGAAGCTTATCTTGTTGCCCTTGACATCCGTGGCCAGATTTAATTCTGTCAGAGCTTCAGCTTTCCTAACCTGATGCCTGGCTGCTCAGATAATTTTCTGTATTCCTTCCAGGCCACCTACCTGTCCTTGCTTCCACCCTCTGCAGGTTTCCTTGTGTGTTTGACTTTGTCCTGGAGCTTCTTCTTCATCTATGCAGGCCCCCTGGAGTTTTTTCCTGACTTCCTTTTCATGTCTTAGATGACAGACAGCTATAAACAACAAATCATTTTAATTAAATGATGAAATATAGTATAGCAAACAAAAAATGCCCAGTAGGTTCATGTAACAAAAACTGAGGACAAATGTGTTTCTGTATGAGTTCCTTTGTCTTCTCAGTTCTGCATAAAATATATCAGGTCCAGATTTAAAGTGTAATGATCATAAAAATCACCATGATAGCTGGGGTAGTGAGGGTGGAGAGCCTTGCATCAGTTTAAAATTATTGTTATTGGTATCTTTTTTGTCAGTTAAAATTTACCAGACACTCCCAACAGCTCAAGTGTAGGAAGGTAAGATAAATAATAATTAGCAGTCTTTCTGTGTAGAAGCACCATCTGTGCCATGCCAGCAATCACAGCCTGTTAGAAAGAGCAGTTTATTGAGATGCTTTTCACTGGCACTGTTTGATAATGACTGCACCCCCTTTGTTTAGCAATCATGATTCACTGTATTTGTAATTTAGCAATCACAGTGTTTTTAGCCCTGTTAATTCACGTTGCAGCTGCATTTCCAGATTAGGCAAAGACCATGTTTCTCAAATACAAATTACAGCACTCAACCCTTTTTGGTTTCTTAGGTAGATTATAATCCATATGGGAACTTGAGTACAAGGAGTTTTCATGCAGTTGTCCTGGGTTCAGCAGTAGCAGTCATGTTTCTCCTCCTTGGTAGCTGGTGCAGTGCAGTGTTTTGACTTTCGGCTCGGGAACAGAGCTGATAGAGATGTTTTGGTTTGGCCAAGGACTTTGTGAGCCTCATGCTCTGCCAGGGAGGAGGGGAAGCTGGGAGGAAGCAGAGACAGGACACCTGACCCAAACTGACCAAAGAGGTATTCCATACCACAGCACGTCATGCCCAGGATGTTACTGGGAGTTAGCCGGAAGGGCTGGGAGACTGCAGGGTTGGAGGAGGTATCGGTCGGAGCTTGGTCGGGCTTGGGGGGCGAGTTATCGGTCAGTGGGTGCTGAGGTGTTGTATTCTGTTCCCTTGTAATTTCCTTTATCATTATTATCATTGGTGGTAGCAGTAGTGATTTGTGTTATACCTTAGTTACTAAACTGTTCTTATCTCAACCCGTGGGAGTTGCATTCTTTTGATTCTCCTCTCCGTCCCTCCGAGAGCAGGGGGAGGGCAAGAAAGGGGGGGAAGTGAGCGAACGAATTGCCTGACTGGGTTTAAACCACGACAGTTCTTTTTGGCGCCCAACGTGGGGCACGAAGGGTTGAGATAACGACAGATTTGACTGGATTAATAGTAATTCGTCACAATGCTGATTTATTGGGTATCAGAGTTGTTCTTCTTGATCTCACAGCTTCAGACCGTTGTAACTTACGTAGAGCCGGTATTTGCTGTGATAGTGTTTATCAAGTGTGGGGCCTGGGGGAGGGCAAGAAAGGGGGTGAAGTGAGCGAACGAATTACCTGACTGGGTTTAAACCACGACAGCAGTAAATACAGTGGGCATGTAAACTAATTCATGCAACAACAACAAAAAAGTCCTGTTTCTATAATGCTTCTGAGTTTGTTTATATACCTGCTAATCAGTTTTCTTGTTACCACTGCAAACTACAATCCACCCAACTAATTGCAATCTACGCAAAGGGGTATATGCATCAGAGATTATTACTGGAACAGGAGTAATTTGAATTATTCTTCCTGTTTTAAAGAGTGAGGAATTTGCCCACACTGCCCACGGCTTTTTAGTTTCTCTGTATGTTGAAGAGGTGAAATTAAGTCCTTTACCACTTAACAGCTCTGAAAAACACCAAAGAAAACAGCCTGTTGAGACCCAAACAAATGGCCAAGGTCCGCTATGGGTAATTCAAATCATTTTGCATTACCTTTGATGGAAAGCCTGAATTTCTCTTCATCAGGGACTGCAGAGATAGGACAGGGGGTGATGGGTTAAAACTTAAACAGGGGAAGTTCAGGTTAGATATAAGGAAGTTCTTTACTATGAGGGTGGTGAGGTGCTGGCACAGGTTGCCCAAAGAAGAGGTGAATGCTCCATCCCTTGGCAGTGTTCAAGGCCATGCTGGATGGAGTCTTGGGTGATGTAGTCTAGTGTGAGGCATCCTACCCATGGCAGGGGCATTGGAACTGGATGATTTTAAGGTCTTTTCCAACCCAAACTATTCTGTGATTCTATGAACTGTCTCTGTTGGCCAGAAGGTTCATGCAATGCTGCTGGTGTTCCGTTCCACCCTGGAGAAAGCTTTATTTCAGACGCAAATGAATGATTTTAGTATACTTCTATGGAAATAGTTATAAAAAGAATATATATTTCCAGGAAGTACATTAAAACTGGTCGAGTTGCTCAAGATATGTGCCAATAATAGTGGATGATGGAATATATTAAGCTATAAAAAGTTTAGGCTAAATTCAGCTCTAGTATAAAAAATTGCTTTTAGGTCAAACTGTAGTCTAAAACCCAGAACTCGCAAAGCATACAGGTTCATGCTTGATTGTAAAAACAGGTTTCATCTGTAAAATTAAGAATGCAGTTTAGGGTCCTGCATTTTTTTTTTATTGCTTCTTGTTTTGAAGTAAAAAGCAGTATAAATTTCTACATAGCAAACTGCTTGCAGCATTAATGAATAGCCGAGTCTTAGGAAGTAAGTTTTATAGATTCAGAAGATCACCTTGTATTTGATCATAGTCCCTTTACTTTCCTTTTGCTTTAAGCTGCTCATTAGTTGGCAAGAAATTGCTGCTAGTAATAAAGATATTTCCCATGCTAGAAATTAACCTCCTAGGAAACAGTTGGTCTATTATCTTGACTGCATCTTTTTCTAAACTATATAAGAGAGCCATTTTCAGCAGAGTACATTAGATTCTAGATAGTGCTTTTGTTCATAACTGAAGCTATGAATATTAATTTCCTGACCTGAAAATAACCCCTTAATGTTTTTGTGGAGAAAAATGTAGTTTTATTTTTCATTGAAACCTTAAGAAAATGAAAGATGTGTGACATCAGCAATAGGTATTAGAAGTACTTCCATGTGACTGCAGCTCCTGTTTTGTGGCGTTCACCTGAACCTTATCTCATCTCCACATCCTCCTGCAGTACCAAGTTGTGTCTTCTTAGTCAAATAGAGCTTTTGTAGACCAGTATCCAGGTACCAAGGTACCAGGGAAACTGGTACGAAGAGCTACTTGTAGTCAGTGTCTTCATTTCATTCCTTACAACCTCTACTCATGATTATTTTTTTTCCTTTTCCATATTTACTGGATAATATTAAGGCATGTATCAATTTTTGGATGTCCAGATATCATCAAATGCTTACTAAGACCATCCCTGACTTAGAATAAAGAATTAAATGCCATTCTGTCCCACAATGAATAGGTAGAAACCAATGCAAAGCAAATTTAAAACTGTTGCTGTGTATGTAAATTAGCACTGTTCTTTTCCTTTTATATCCTGTTTTGATTTTTCCAAGCTATTTATTGTTTTTAATCATATTGGAGGTGTTAGGTGATGTATATTCTTTTAGCTATTCTATAAAAATCCAGAAAGTTTTATCAAGAGGAAAACAGCTGATATGACAGATTGGGATTTTTATCCTGTGAATTAAATGCCGAAAAAAGAAATTTAATGTTCTTTAGTTAGTATTTACTGATTAATACAGTGGAAATCACATTCTCAGATTTTTTTCCACTATTTTAGAAACCTGAGATTATAAGCTTTGTCTCCATATTTTACAGGGACCTCCAGGAGCAACTGGTGCTGAAGGCAGACAAGGCGAAAAAGGTGCCAAGGTAATACAGTCAAGATTTTTTTGGGGAGCATTTGAATGTACACTGTATATAAATGAAAAGTAAATTCCTTCTCATCACTGAATGTGAAACTTAACCAAAACAATAATGGACAAATTATGGACAAAAATGGAAGATAAAATCCAAATTTAACTCCAGAATTAGTAGCAGTACATAATGGAGTACATGGTGGACTCTCACAGTGCAGGCCCAACTTAGCTCATGCCTGCAGAAAAGCAAGATGAGCCTGCTTTACTGGCAGCACCACATCTTTATATGAAGCTATCAAAATACTGTTCAAAAACCTGTTCTGTACGGAACACTGTTTCTAGAATAGCTTCTAAAAAAAGGAGTGAAGAAGCTTGACTCTCACTTTGCAGCTTGTATCTCCCTGCAGTGCCAAGATTAGTCAGCTCTTCCTATCTGATCTCTGTTGCTATGTTCTTTCTAGGGTGAACCTGGTGCAGAAGGGGCTCCTGGAAAAACAGGCCCTGTTGGTCCACAAGGACCTGCAGGAAAACCTGGCCCAGAGGGTCTCCGGGGCATACCTGGCCCTGTGGTAAGTAAACAGAGCATATAGTAATAATATAAATGTCGCATTTCTTGTATACCCTCTGGTAAAGCAAACTTTGTTTTTTTCTAGGGAGAACAAGGTCTACCTGGGGCGCCAGGTCAGGATGGCCCTCCTGGGCCTCTGGTGAGTATGCTTCCTTTCAGTGCCAAACCAGAAAAAGCACCATTTCATTAAAATATAGCATTTACAGAAAAATGAATGTACAAGTCTGTTCCTAGCACAAAGTCACTATTCTGTCCTGGTAAAATCTAATGCACAACTGCCTTTGAATTTTACTGCTCTACTTCAGTAGGCAGCTGTGCTGAATGATGTTGAGCCCATAAAAACTTCATAAGGCAGGGTAAAACCAGATTCTTGAAATCCCCTGAAGAGAATGAAAACTAAAATTAATGAAACTTACAATCGAAGAATCTACTTCTGTCCCCATGTCAGCAAAGCTTCATACTTTAAATCCTTGAGTTTCCTTAGCAGTTGCAAGTTTTGTACAGCCATTGATTTTAGGAACTGCTAGTTTAGGAAAATATTATTTATAGGGTAAAAGTTTGGATCATATCTATTCCTTAGAGAAGTAAAAATCAGGTCAGAATTAGGGCCAAAAAGGAACTTCTACCAATGAAGAAAACATGCTAGTTTTCTAAAAATGAACAGTAGCATCATTTCAGTTGTTCACTGCGGCAGTGCCAGGAACCAGTGTTTCAAAAGTGTCTGAATGAACCAAACTCCCAGTTTCTAGTGCATCTAAGGCATGCCGAAGTTCTGCTATGTCTTAATAAAAGCAAGGGAAGCTCATAGATGACATACTATCAAGTTATATCATTGCTTCTATTTACACTTGCTATTTTAGTGCATTTTCTTCTAACAAGCTGAAAACATGATACTGAGCACAAATTGCACAACACTGCTGTTCTGATTCAATATTATGTGCAGAAATTCAAATCTAAATTATATAAACTAGTGGAAAGATCGTACATCTGCTGCTTTCCAAATTCACTGAAACTGTCACAGTTGAGTGACACATTGGGAGTAAAAATCCTTGAAACAATATATAGACTGTTACAGTTTGATGGAAGAGTAACAAGTGTTACACCGTTAAGGCATTTAACAGTTTGCAAGCAGTGCAAACATATCACATACTAAGTAAAATGTACTCTGTTATTTTGGCCAGAATATACAATCAGATTACTTCAGGAGAATAGGGCAATAAAGAGCTAACCTCTACGTCACAAATTATGTGGCTTTTAAAGGGCAAGAGAAAGGCTTTGAGTAAGAAGTGTGAAGGGAATCCTCTGTTCCTTTTCCTATACAGACTCAGAGGATACAAATGATACAGGTCCTTAGGTAGCCTTAATATTGAAAGTTTTTGCGCTTAAGTTATAAAACTGAAGTCAAAATCTCTCCAAGAGCATTCCTGCCTCCCTGGTGAGAATTCAAGATCTGAACAGCAGCTATGCATTTTTCATATCAGAATTTTCCAGTAGATAAAAATGGAAGTGGAAAAAATGAGGAATTTAAACTGAGATGCTGTATAAATCAAGACTTTTACTCTAAATCAGTTGTTCACTTTCATGTGCATATGTGAAAATGAGCAATTGCCTTCTCTTTCATTGACAGAAACACTTGCACAGGTGAAAGCATTTGGGTAACCATTTGCATTTTCAAAACATGCAAGTTCATAACCTCTAAGTAGAGTTTCAGAACAAATAGTTTTATGCCCCACTCACTAGAAGGATTTTTCCCAATGGACTGTGATCTGGTGGATAGGGGTATCTATCAATCACTTCTATGTAAATAATTATAGATGATATGACAATGGCACCTACGTATAATTTCATTTTTCTCTGTCCATTAGAAAACAAAAATGAGGAAATAATGTACCAAGGAAACTTTACACTGTAGGTCTTTGTTGTCCTTCATTTTAACATTCTAATTTTTGTCTAGTCTCATGGTCAACATATTGCTTGTAAATCAGAAGTTGGGAACAGTGAATGAGAAGCTGCAAGGAAAAAGTATACTCCGGTGCTAAGCCTGTAATACAAATGCTTTTTTACAGAGAGTTTATGATGGGATCACCACCATAGTTTTTAAATGATGTGCCCAATAAAATGCGTGAGGGAGAAATCAGGGAACTAAAAACTGATCTCCTCTGTTACAATTCTGTGTTGACACCTAAAGCCAAAGAACAAATTACTCAGCACTAATAAGCATCCCTTTCCCACACATCAGTTACCAGAAGCCTCCTAATACATCATCAAAGAATCTCTTTTCCAACATTTGAGAGCTTAAATATTCAGTTCAAGTCTGAAGCTAAATGTATTAAGGAAGTGTATACTCCCAAATGCATAGGCTCAACAAGAGTGTCTTGTTAGCCCAGCAAGAACCTTTTTTTAGATGCATTGCTGCAACTTAAACTTTAGTTTGGATTTTAAGGAAATAGAGTTTATATGCAGAAGTTGCTGAGGTTAGGTCTCCCTCCTTCACGTTCCTCCCTCCACAGTAGATTGCTATAGGGAGAAGAATATGAAAGCAGATTTGCAGCAGAGCACAACACACTGCAGGTGAAAATATCTGATTCTGTATTCTAGAAGCTTAAAAATTCCACTTTTCATTCATGAATTATGTATTTGCCTAGGCTTTTGCACCTAATGATACCTGAAGTAGAGATGGAAATGGTATGCACTGAATAATATTTTGTACATGAACTGTTACAGCACTTTTGAATCTGTGCCTGGTTGAAAAGGTCACTTATTATTGCTATCCATATCATAACTTCTCAGGTGTCCACTGCCAGCAGGAGAGATCCACTGCTAGCAGCGATGAGATACTGACTGTGTCTAGTAGCTCTACACCTGATGGCAGAAGTGTTCAGTGTCCAGATGCATAGTCTCTGAGAAATGAATGCTTTTTCTGGGATTGCATGTGCACTGCATAGCCTGAATTTTTTCACCTCATTCAGTACAAATTACAGAAAACCAGCACTGCCATTCTTGTGAAGTTCAGAATATTTCTCAAATCCCTCAAAATTCTTCTAAAATGATAAGTAAGGATTAAAATAGTAAAAAAAAAAAAGGCAAGCCAAGGTGATTTTAACAAGCTTCATATAGAGACTTTTTCTGTGACATCTATCCGGATTTTTACAACTGATAAAGTAGTATCTTCAGTGGGTTGTTCTTATGACCCAGTAAAGCTACAAAAAAAAAAAAACAGTGGCAGGGAAAATAAGCTTGTGTCAAGTTATAAGAACAAGGTTATTCAGTGGTTTTTGCAAGGGAGGTGCAAAAAAAGACCTATCTGTGTGGATGTTTCTCCTTTGCAGTGGTTTCCCAGCTAGTAAGACTGCAGCAGAGTTTTCCAATAGATTCTATAAGCATCAGCTTACATTGGATCCACCTGAAAAAAAAAAGAGTGGTTTACTTTGTCCCCTCCCCACACCCATCTCAGAAACACGGAAGGGCTTGTTGTTCACAGCTCTGTCTTCTGTCCCAGCACATTTTTGTCTACAGAAATCTAGCTCTATGGAGCAATGGTGAGGGACAACTACAGATAAGACAGAGAATAAAAAGCATTAATTTCTTACTCTGTTTCATAAACTAACATATGCCTTTACTGTGCTATAGAAAGGATGGCTTGTAAATACGAATTAGAAATTGTAAGCTGCTCTTATGATGTGAACCATTTAAGTAAACTGATACCAGTGAAAAGGTTATCAGTTTAACACCTCTGTAAGGTAAGGTGGTGTAGTTTAAGCCCAGCTGGTAACTCAGAACCATGCAGCTGCTTGCTCTCTTCCCCTCTTTTCCCCACCCCCCCCCCCCTCCCACGCCCCCATCAGCCCACCTCACAAGCATGTCAAGGTCCCTCTGGATGGCATTCCTGCCCTCCGGTGTTATCAACCAAACCACACAGCTTGGTGTCATCGGCAAACTTGCTGAGGGCGCACTCAATCCCACTGTCCATGTCAGCGACAAAGATGCTAAACAAGACCAGTCCCAACACCAATCCCTGAGGGACACCACTCGTTACTGGTCTCCAGCTGGCCATTGAGCCATTGACCACAACTCTTTGCATGCGGCCATCCAGCCAGTTCTTTATCCACCGAGTGGTCCATCCATCAAATTGATGTCTCTCCAATTTAGAGACAAGGATGTCATGTGGGACAGTGTTGAACGCTTTGCAGAAGTCCAGGTAGATGACATCAACTGCTCTACCCCTGTCCATCAGTTCTGTAGCTCCATCATAGAAGGCCACCAAATTGGTCAGGCAGGATTTCCCCTTAGTGAAGCCATGCTGACTGTCACCATGCACCTTGTTTTTCATGTGCCTCAGAATACCTTCGAGGAGAATCTGCTCCAAGATTTTGCCAGGCACAGAGGTGAGACTGACTGGTCTGTAGTTCCCTGGGTCATCCATTTTCCCCTTCTTGAAAATGGGGGTTTTCCATTTCCCTTTTTCCAGTCATCAGGAACTTCACCTGACTGCCATGATTTCTCAATTATGATGGCCAGTGGCTTAGCAACTTCATTTGCCAGCTTCTTCAGGACCCGCAGATGGATTTCATCAGGTCCCGTGGACTTGTGTACGTTCAGGTTCTTAAGATGGTCTCGAACCTGATCCTCTCCTACAGTGGGCCCGAGGTCTTCATTATCACAGTCCCTGTGTCTGCCTTCCAGGACTTGGGTGGTGTGGTCAGCACCTTTATCCAGGGTAGCCAGTTTCCTGATAGCTTCTGGAGGGGGCCTACGTTGTCCCTAGTCTGTCTTTTATTTGCTATGTGCCTATAGAATCCCTTCCTGTTATCTTTAACATCCCTAGCCAAGTTTAATTCTAACTGGGCCTTAGCTTTCCTAACCTGGTGCCTAGCTTCCCAGACAACATCCCTGCATTCTTTGAAGGCCACCTGTCCTTGCTTCCACCTTTTATAAGCATTAAAACATTACAAGGTTACTGTCTACTATGATATGAAAGAAAGGGCTAAAATAAACAACTAAAATAAGGTACGGCAATTAAAATGGAAGTAACAATTGAAAGCATGTAATGTAACCACAGGCAAAATTAGGGTAATAAAAAAAGAGTATTTGAATTTTTTTAACGTCACTTGCTTCACTGGATGCTTTCAGTGCTCTGAGAATTCACTTGACCTTCTGCTTCATAGATTTCTAGTCATAAAACTCTATAGATTTCTAATTATAAAGCAACCTAAATGCTACAGCAGCATCATCACACTTTTAAATTCAGCTTTATCATGGGCCCTAAATTACATGCTATTAATCACAAACTTTAACCACTGAATGACTCTGTACTTTGACTTACACTGCCTTCAGTAGTATTTCAAGCAACCATGATCTGAGCAGTATGTTAAACTTACTTTAACATTGCTTCCCTTGATTTATTTAGGGTCCACCTGGCCTGCCTGGCTTGAAAGGAGATCCAGGTTCCAAAGGAGAGAAGGTATAATGGAGTCATTGTTTGTACATTTGTAATTTTTATCCAGTCTAAAAGCTTTATAAAATTAGCAGAAGAAACAGTAGAGGTTTTGTATCAGAAAGCAAGACAACTTACTGTGTCTACTCAGCTTCACATAGTCTTATAGTAATTGTGAAGTTTTAATCTACATCTGGTATCCTGGAGCTATATAGAAAGGAAAAGATTACTTCCTGTGTATCTATTGACCATGTGATTCTTCCTTGCAATAAAAATCCCAAAGACAGTGATGTAAGAGAGCTGTTCATTTGACAAAAACAAGTAAGTAGCAATAAAAAGTACTTGAGATTTTTATTTTAAAACAATAAAATCTAAATATTTAACAGCTATAATACCTTCTTTTGAAATAATGAGTTGAGACAGCCAGGATAGCACAGTTTGTTGATTGCTTGTATATCAGAAAAAAACTGCATAGAGAAAAGGATATCAGTATCTTCTGAATTTCAGGTTTTGTTCATGTGCTTGCAGCAGCTGCTTATACAGCCGTATTGCATGTGGAAATGACTGTGCAACTCTATAATATGCTTATAGCATCTAAATGTAACATTTATGAAATTTGTACCCACAGGTATTGTTATTTCTCTATTGGTTTCAGTAAGGAGTATGTTGCACCTCTTTCACTGAATAAGCAGTCGCAGCTTGCAAATTAAGTCTAAAAGGCCAACTAAAACCAACTAATATGCTTTCAGAATAACTTTTTTCCAGGTTAATCGTTGACTAGCAACAGTGATGACATTTGAAATTTCTAATTCATGTGTTTGAAAAGCACATTTACTTTATACATATTGTGTGTTAACTATATTTTCTTCTATCTTGTTTAGGGACATCCTGGTTTGATAGGCCTGATTGGACCTCCAGGAGAACAGGGTGAAAAGGGTGATAGGGGTCTTCCTGGCCCACAGGGATCTCCTGGAGCCAAGGGTGATGCAGTGAGTAAAACATATTTGTGCTTTCATTCAAGTTCTGTGCAAGCAAAAAGCACATATTCAGCTATTTCTTTTGAGAGACATAAAGTTACTATAAACGTGTAACACCAGAGCCTCCTGCTAGAAGCTAAAACTTTCCTACAGACACTGTGAAGTTAGCTTAAAACAAGATCATACTTCAAAAGATTCAGAAGTAATCACATACACCTAAGGGATAAGATAAAACTAGCAACACCAATCTCATCATGTTTATTAACTGCACTACCCGAAGTAGCTTCCTTTCTCCTAGTTATCCATGTTTCCAGGCACTATGTAAAAAGTGAGGTTTCAAAGTCAGTCTAAAGGGGAACATGGTTGTGACTGTAAGTACTGCAGTGTAAGAGCACCTGCAGGCAACTCAAACTGTCAGGTAATATTTTAAACTTACAAGCTATTTGGACTCTAGCAAATGGCCTAAATCAAAACTCATCAGGGTTGGATGCTTTCATAAATATGCATTTTTAAATCCAGTCCAGTACTTCAGTTCTGTACTTACTCTCTTACTCTGTCTTAGGGAATTTCCGGCCCTGCAGGTCCACTTGGACCCCCTGGTCCTCCTGGTTTACCTGTAAGTAATTTCATCCACTCCTCCTGTTCTAAACACTCCCCGATTGTGTGACATACACTCCAACTATAGCTCTATGTTCTTGCCCATAGGGTCCCCAAGGTCCAAAAGGTTCCAAAGGATCCAGTGTAAGTAGTTTGCATCCATATTTTTTGTTCTTTAACTTCTGTGTGTGTTACTTTTAACATTGTGTAGTATGGTCAGCACTTCATTTCTTTCATTGTCTTATAGGGTCCTGCTGGTCAAAAAGGTGACAGTGGGTTACCTGGTCCGCCTGGTCCCCCAGTAAGTAAGAACTCAGTTATCTGACATGCAGAAGGGTAGAAGCCAGCATTTTTGAACTTGCAGATAAGGAATATATTAATGTTTGGGATTAATGAAAAATGTTTTTTTTTCCAAATCCGGATGAAATGTTTTAATCACTTGAAGTATTGCTTTATAGACCCCAAGTGGAGTTTTAAAATTTTATCAAAGAAAACATCCTCAGTTTTCATTTGTCATAGGCTATGCCTGTGCTTGAGGGAATTGCCAGGGATAAATAGGCAAGTACAAGTCAGTTCTGCACACTTATGTGAGGGCACCACGCTCTTCCCCAAAATATCAAGGAAATAAGTGAAACAAAGAATTTGAAGAAAGCCTGTTCAAAGCTTCTGCAAGCCACATCCTGTGGTCTTTGTCTGCCTATTTATGCAGCTGAAAAACAGACAGAAAAGGTAACCAGATACATTGTTCTCCACTCAGGGTCCTCCAGGTGAGGTAATCCAGCCACTGCCAATCCAGTCACCCAAAAAGACAAGAAGATCTCCTGATTACATGTTATCTGATGCTGGTGATAATATTCTGGATTATTCTGATGGCATGGAAGAGATCTTTGGTTCATTGAATTCACTGAAGCAAGACATTGAGCATATGAAGTATCCAATGGGCACACAGAATAACCCAGCCCGAACTTGCAAAGACTTGCAACTCTGCCACCCAGACTTCCCAGATGGTATGTTAATATTGCATGACAAAGGCAAACAAGGCTGAAGTTATAATCTGCTAGGATACTTTAGAGAATAATTCATTATTGGTAGGTGGTTAATATAGTTGATCAATGAACAGAGTCTCATTAAATCAATTTTTCATGTATAAAAATGCATAAAATGTAAGTAAGAGCCGTTCTCTTGGTAAAATCCTAAATGCTTTAAATATGTAACCTGATCTGGGTTTAGATTTAAAACTTTGTGGAGTGCCAAATAAAAAGCATAAATTTTGGAAGTGTGGGCCTTGCATTTCCAGAACTATCCAAACAGGAGAGGAATTAAAGATTGATGCTAATTAGATCGGTGGAAAGGAAAATCACAAACGTCAGCCTGCTGGGATAGCTAATAGCTTGTATTAAAAGAAATGAAAACTATTCTAGCTGTATACTTTAGCTGAGCAAAAGAATATAGCACTGGTATTATATGAGATTTATTATTGACTGTGACTCTCAAAAAATTTACTCTTCTTTTACCCTTAGAAACAATCATTTGTTTCACTGCATGACTACTGTTTGTTCTATATAATTCAGTGAATAGACATTCAAGTTTCTCTCATACTGTTTAGTGCATCTAAGAACTAGCTTAATAAAATGCAGAGTAGTATGAACAAGACCCTGTGTTCTCAAGAACTATCTTGATTCAATTATTCTTTGTTGTTTTCTGAGTTTACCCTCTGGAAAGGTTTAAATGAAAGTTAGCCTTCACAGAGCTTTCATGCTTTCGTAGTTTTTTCAATTGCAATGGATAATTTTCCAAGTTCAAATCAGTATTTTGTTGTGCTTTTAAATGGGAGGGAAAATGGATTTCAACAGTTTAATGCTATTTTATTGTTTTCATTCTAGATAGATAAAAACAGACGGTTGCCTTGAGGCGTAGTTAAGCAATGTATATGCTATATGAAAAATATATATTTTACAATTCAGTGGCGTTAATGGATGGTTTTTATAAACCAGATTCACTTTCTTCATTTACCAGTATTTGCTTAGTATCTGGAGCTTTCTTCATATAAAAGTAATATTTTGTTTAAAATAGAAGTAAATGCATTCATTAAAACACAAGATTCTCCAGGGGCAAGCACTTGTTTTCAGTAAATACAGCCTGAATCAATAGAATTTTGAAATACCATAAATGCTTTGTCTATGTCCTGTAATTAGAAGACAGAACTGATGAAGGGATTTGTCATTCTTCTTTGAAACCTTCAGTATTAGCTTGAAATTGGATTAGAACATTAGTGTCAGAAAATCATCTGCTGTCTTACCGAGAAACTAGCTGAAGGACCCACACCACAGAAATCACCATTATAATTAGTATGGTGTTAAAAAGTGTTGATTTTTAATGGACCTTGGATTGACTGTGGCTCTCTTTCATGCTCAGCCTTCACTCACCCTAGCATTGTAGAGCCTGAATTCTCAGACATGCCAGTCTGGCAGGATTCTTGAAACTATATAGGGGAAGTTTTAACTGTCTTTCCTACTGTGTCACCTAACCAAGGATTAGTTAAGGTGCTTTTATCAACTGAAGCAGCCTGGAGCTTCACTAGTCTAGTCTTGCAGCTTCCTAACCCAGTAGCAAAAACGTATTTGCTTAAAATATGTCTCTTTCAATAAAAGCTTTAAGTAGTTGTGCCAGCTACAACCTGACCAAGCCCTGTGTGGCCATGTTTTTATGTAGATAGGTGTGCAAATAACTACAGATTTTTCTCTCTGACCTAAGCCGTATCTTTTTTATGCCTGAAGATGCCTGTGCTCTGTTTTTGAAAGTGCTGTTACCACAGGTACAAATTATCCTTCTATCTTAAATATTGAAATGGCCAAATTGTTGAGACTTGCAATGTATTTTCCACGCATAATGTCCTTCCTCCACTAGACCAAGTTCTTTTGTAACCTCAAGCAGTATCCTGCAACAGAATCATGGTTTGAAGTAAAATTAGAGAAAAAGAAAAGGAAAAAATTAGGCAAAAGAAAAGATAAAAATAGACTTGATAAGTCTATTAAGTCTTGATAATAGCAGAAACAAATCACAGGGCAGAAAAGTGTTGCTTTCTCATCATTCAGATAAAACAACTTTGCTAAAAACTTTGGAGGACCAAAGTAGAGGAAAAGGTACTGGGGTAGCAGTAAAACCTGGCTCTTACAAATACTGATTCCACTACATAAGCCAAATAATTTCTCATTTGTTTTAGGGGAGTATTGGATTGATCCTAACCAGGGATGTTCTGGAGATTCCTTCAAAGTGTACTGCAATTTCACAGCAGGCGGAGAAACTTGCATCTACCCAGATAAAAAATCTGAAGGAGTAAGTGCCAATCTGTGTTTTCAGCTGGCTGCTGATAGATCCTACTACGCTGTTGCAATGTTGAACTAAAGAAGATAATTACATTGTCACATTTTCATATATCTATCTCTCTGGTTACACTAAAATGTGCACAAATCTGAATGAAGTGGTAAAATGGTACATAGATGTAACAAACAGTATTTTCACTGTTTTGCTTAGATAGGGAATCTCTGCATCTGCTTGCTGGCATTTCACTGCATTTCAGGGTGCAACATAGCTGCGCAGCCAGTTAAAGTGCATAATCTAGCATTTGACCTAAAACCTAGACTCTTACTGCATTTCTCTTGTGGTTTCATTTGTGTCTATTCCTTTTATACCTGTGCAAAGTAGATATAAAACACTATATATTAACAGTGTCCTCACTTGTTATAAATGACCTCTGATGGGGCAGATGGTGTAGAGGTGGCTTTCTAAAAGCTTGCCTAAATGAGAGAGATCTATCAGCATTAACAACAGTGAAAACTCTAATTTATACACTCTTCACAGGGAAAATTTAAACCAGCAGTTTACCTGAAACTTAACAAATGAAAACAGTCTCCCTTAAATAGAAATAGCTCTCTTTATAAGCTGTCACTTTGCATTCTGTTTAAAGTTACTAATTTGAAGGCATTCTGTACAAGAAAACCGTCCTATTTTAGACCTTTAAAGGGGCTGAGATCTACTATCTGATGTGAAATTTGTCCCGGGTAATGTAAAACCTTCCTATCTGATAACATATGTTTTAAATACTTCTATCTCTGCTGTTTTACCTCACAGGTTAGGATTTCATCATGGCCAAAGGAGAATCCAGGATCTTGGTTTAGTGAATTTAAGCGAGGCAAACTTGTAAGTTATCACTGCAACATAACAGTTACTCACAAATCAAGTACACATTATCAGTGATCAACAGATCCCAAATAATTTTACAAATACATAGATAATAAAAAGTCTCTTCAGCCCCAGGCCTTTTCCCCTAAATATTAGCACAGGTATGCAACCTCTTGCCACTGGACAGCAGCCTGCTCTGTATTGTGCCACAATGATCCCAGTGCTCACATCACCACTGACCCTTAGTGAAGCAGCTGGAGCGCAGATCCCCTGCCCACTTCTAGGTAGCTGGAAATATACTGAGTATGCAAAGATGAGACTGCAGGATGACATCACTTTATAATTAACTGAATGCAGATTCCCAAAGAGATTCTGCTGTCTTTCACTATGTAATTCTGTCCTGAGTTCTGAACTATAGTTCTTCATCCTAAATCTATTGCTACAAGATGAAAACCTATTTACTGAGCTGTAGCTTTATTGAACTTTAACACTCCATAAAATGTTATTATTTTGGCTGATTTTTTTTTTTTTTATTTTTTTAAGGACAGTTTTGTGGTTCTTTTGTCAACAATAATTTTGGTTTGCGTTTTAACAAAGAAAATGGAAAAATATTGATGTAACTTGTATTTTCCAGCTTTCCTATTTGGATGTTGAAGGCAATTCCATTAATATGGTCCAAATGACATTCCTTAGACTACTGAGTGCCTCTGCCAGACAGAATTTCACTTACAACTGTCATCAGTCTGTAGCTTGGTATGATGCATCATCTGACAGCTATGACAAAGCACTAAGGTTCTTAGGATCAAATGATGAAGAAATGTCTTATGACAACAGTCCTCACATCAAAGCCCTTCACGACGGCTGTGCGGTAAGTGGAGGCTCAGAAGAGTCTTTACAAAACCAAC